CTTCTCACCCCTCCCCCCCCTCCTCCCCTGTCTCGCCCCCCCTCCAGCCCCTCCCCCCCCCATGCTAAATTCCCCCAGCTATCACATAAGTGTAAACACATAACCACAGGTATTTTTCACAGCAGGAGCGGGCGCTCGTGCCAAACGCTCACACAAATACACCTACACTACACCCAGTCATGAAATATATTTAAAAGTCTTGTAATGCTGCTGGCTTGTATTGATGACCTAATGTGTGCGTGCGCGTGCGTGCGTGTGTGTTTATCTCTGTCAGACAGCCTTCGTGTCTGCCGGTTTATATGTCTGTCTGCCTGTCTGTCTGCCAGCTACCTTGACCAAAATATCTGCATCAGTAAAGTGGATCACAAACAGTCGCACACGATTTTATTTCTAAAGATTAGTGGCGCCCTCTTGTGGCCACTTTAGAGACTGTGACTCGAATTGCCTCGTGGTTGTCAGTGGACAGTTTTATAAGAACAGAACTCGTTTAAACAAATGAAATTAAGCAGTGACATTTTTATTTAAATTTTAAATTTCGTTTGTAGTTACATATGTACGGACCTTTTTTTTATTTAAGCCCATGAAAGTTTTTTTTATATATTTTTTTCACGTTTCTTCAGGGGCTCTGTACATTTAAAGTTTAAATAGTTTCTTGTCTATGAGTCACTGATTGAGTTTAAAGATGACAAATTATAACCTGGTTTAAAGGACAATGAGGTATGATGAATATAATGTTTTCATTTGTAGGTTTTTCAAATTTGTACTTAATTCATTGTATTTTTTTTTCTTTTATCCAAATCCCTCTCCTCATCTCTGTCTCCTCTCCTCTCTTCTCTTTCATACTTCCATCTTTGTCTCTCCCCAGTCCAGACGACAGCAGGACCCCAGCCCTGGCTCAAACATGGCCAACGCTGATGTAGAACATAAGATACGCTGACGATGAACATATCAGTTAGGAGGAGGAGGAGGAGCGAGGGGGGGGGGGGGGGAGGAGGAGGAGGAGCGAGTGGGGGGGGGGGGGGGGAGGAGGAGGAGGAGGAGCGAGTGGGGGGGAGAAAAAAAGAAGAGAAGAGGAGAAGAAAAACCAGGGAAGTCCAAATCCATCAACTCACTTTCAACACAATCAGTTGAAAAGACACGTCAACAGTTGCTGCAGTGGTTGAACCAGTGGTTCATGGTTGTTTTCTTAAAGTTTGATATGCCAAAGTTTTGTTTTTTTTCAATATTTGAATGTAAAATTGATTGAATTGAAAGTGATTACAATCCAAAAAGAGGAGGGTTTTTTAAAAAAAAAGAAATGTTTGGAGGAACAGACCTGGATGAAAAAGCAACAGGAATGTGTTATTTTATATAAAAGAAGGAACAGGAATGTCAGAACCTTTGATGTGATAGAGATGAAGGTGTTTCCCTTTTCAAACCAGGCGATTCTAAATATAACTTTTTATCCAGGTCTATGTGAAGTTGAAAGGCTTTGAAAGTTTCAAGAACCAAAGGTGTGTTTTCTATAAATACAAGAACTGAAAACAGAGGAAGAGAATGTTTTTGGGAGGTTGAAGGTGGAGTTATATATATATTATATTTTATATATATATATATAAATTAAAGTAAACTGAGCAGAAAACTTAAAATAGGACATGGATAGCTCATATATATATTTATATATGTACACATATAGTATATTTCTGCGTACTCTACCTTTAAAGAGGCCAGTTGAGGGAGGAGGTCGCAGAGGGACAGGCTTTATTTGGCTCAGGGTCATGGATTCCGAGTGGTTGTCGTTGTCGTTGTTGTGTTAGCGTCGCCCTCGTTCCCCTCACTGTACCAGGCTCGATTCTTGAAACCTGCTGTTTTCTGAGACCAAAGTTCACTTTGCTGGAAAAAAGGGGGAGAGAGGGGGTGGGGGGGGGGGTGTTGGCGAAGTTTGAGAATCATTTCTTTGGGGGGAGGGGGAGTTGAAAGGTTACATGTTTGCTGTACTATGATGTTTTGGAATCGTTCTTCCGACCATCAGTCTGAGATGCCCGTACCAACACATCTGCTGTTGTCACAACAACAACTCCGAGGCAAGAAGAAGAAAAAAAAAACTGCTGCAAACTCTGCTTTCTTTGGCTCTGGAAGCAACTGTGTAAAACGATTGGGTGTTTTTTGTTTTTTGTGTGTGTTTTTGATGGGGGTGGGTGGTGGAAGGGTCATGTAGGAGGGTTCATTTCAAATGTCCTTTGTCTTCCAAGGGGTTTTGCACTATGAAATACAATCGGTCTTGTTTCCTCCGTGTGGATAATTCTTTATATGCATGAATGAAAACACAGCCTCGACTGTGTTCTCTGATGTTCCCTATGCAGCCTGTTTGTCAGAGCGCTCCGTCTGTGCACAGCTTCGCTCAGGAATATGTGGGTGAACCATGGTTCTGTCATGAGGTGTGTATTCACACAGCTCAGGAATATGTGGGTGAACCATGGTCCTGTCATGAGGTGTGTAGTCACGTCTGACCCACATTTACACCTGGTTCTTTGAGTAACTATACAGTTTCAACGTGTGGTATTTTTCATCTCAGGTCACAGCCTTTAAATTCATCTACACTCCTGATGTCAATCCATCAGTCACCCACAGATTCCTCATCACTAACGGTCTGGGGGGGGGGGGGGGGGGGGGGTACATCCTATTCCCTGTCCTGTTACAGCACTAGTGTAATGAAATATTTTTCTGTTTTTTTTTTGTTATCTTATTATTTCTGTTTGTGTGAAAGTCATGATGTTTACTTTTTTATTACTTCTTCTGTACTTGTACTCACTGACGTCCATTCTTCTGCTTTGTTATGAGCTCGTAGCATCAGCTGTAGTTTTGTTTCATGTCAAGCTGAAAACGGTATCGAGACATTTGGGAGTTTTTGAAGACTTTTGCCTTTTTATGCAATTATCTTACTGTTCTTGATGTTCATTTTGTTTTAGAATTTTGTTTTCAAAGAAATCTGCTCTCTCTGATTTAATTAAATTAAATGTGGATTGAATCAAGCCCTGTTTAATGGCACCAGAAATGTGTTTTTATAAGCGTGTTTTCAACCAAAAGCTCATTGAATTTTCCAGTGTGTTCTGCCTTTCCGACCCTCAACGGTTTTATTACAATTATTGTAACCAAGAAAATGGTGTTGTTCATGCTTTTTTCCTCTTCTGTCCCCATGACTCTTTAGGAAGCTTTACATCAACCTAAGAACATGTTTTGTACATTGATTGTGTGTTTGCAGCATTTTACAAGAAGTTCTGATGTAAAGAAATGTTGCTTTTGCTGAGAACTTCAATTAAAACCAAAATTGAAAAGGCAATGTTACATTGAAAATCTAAGCTCTGTAATAAACTTTTAAACAAATTACTCCTGACAATAAACTACTTCTGATTCTGTTAAAGCTGAGGTGGGGATTAAGAGATTAGTACTGGATTAGATTAGTATTAGAGAGGGAAATACAGAAGAAACATAAACAGAACTTTGTTAATAAAGAAAGTTCAGGGTTTTGTCATTTTATTAGATTAACTTTCAAATAGATTGTTTTTCAAGGAACTAATGACAGTGAAACCCTGCAGTAAACAAATGTTTTTGCTGTTATAAGTTTAGGTTAAAATCATGGTGATCTAACATGGCCACCTCTTAACAGACCAACTGTTCCTGAGGTCAGAAAATATGGATCATTGTGGGATAAAAATGATATCGATTCATGGGTGATTTTACCTACATGAAACATTGTTTATTGGATTTAATAATATTTATATTTCATCTTCTCTAACTAATCAATTTGTATATTTAATTTAGTTTAATTTCATCTTCCCTAACTAATCAAATATAAAAAATATTATACATTGTATCACGGTGAATATTTAACCTAAAACGTATACACTGAAAATGTTAACACATTTTTCACAGTTACTCTTTATTAAATTTGTAGATTTAATTTAGTTTAAAAAACTAAGTACAAATATGAAATAAAAAATATTTAGTTGGTAAAAACCTTTCGTCCCCAACGATTCGTGTGTCATGTTTTTGGCGATGAAAGATGAGCTCACATTTGTCTTTTAACGCAGACGCAGTCTACCGTGTCAATTGACTATGACGTCATCACGTTCGTCCAGGGGCTTACGTCGTACACAGGAAGTCGAAATATCAGCTGATCCCGCTGGCTGTTGTTGATGCCTCTGAGTAGCCGTTGTTTGGACACCGTGTTGCTCTCCCCCGCTCCGGACGTTGAGGACATTACACGCGAGACGGGGACACACCGGACTGTGGACACACACGGGACGGCAGTTTGAACAATAACGGCAGCCTTTTTTTCCCGCTGCCAGAATTTCACGTTTTAACGGTCGAAGCAGAAGCAGCAGAGCTGCCAGCGTCTGAGTGACGGTGGAAGGAAGAAAGAAAAAACAACAGAGGCAGCACCGTGTGCTCCCTTTTTGTTCATGTCGTGCCAGTCTTTTTAGCGTTTTACCGTGTCTTGACATTTTTATTGATACACCTTTATTTATTTTTTAACCCTAAACAAACGGGGAATAGGTGAAAATAGGCGACACTTAGCTTGTCGGCTAACGTTAGCTCACAGCGCAAAGAACCAGTGTTGTTGTTGTTGTGAAGCTCTGGTGCTTTCGTAACCGCCCGACGGTGACAGATAAGGACGGCTCTGTCTGTGAGAATACTGATAGTTGGTGGAACGTCAGTCGTGTCCGTGGGTGTTTCTAACATACACAATTTGTTAGGCGCCGTTGGCGACAGGTTACAGTCGTTGTAGCCAAACAAACTGTCGTTCACTTTGTAAACTGTCGTAAGTTTATGCACTCGAGTATCGGCGTTTTTTTTTCCTCTCCCTGTATCGATTATAATATAACGCAGAAAGGCAGCAGGTTCACTGCCACGTGTACTTTTAGTTGATAGGTTGCGCAATTTGTTTACCTGCAAGCTGTGAACCGACGTTGGACCCTGTTTTTAATGTTGACACGTTTGACATGTGACACAGTGAATTCCCACCTCAGGACTGTGTGACTCAGTTGTTCGTTTAATGAGTTAGAATCAGAACTAGACAGAGTTGCCGTGAATACTCTGAGGCAGTACTGTGATCAGGGACAGACCAGTGGGGGGAGAGAAAAAACGGGGTCCCTCAGAGGGTCCCTCTTTGTCTTGGTGAGGCGAGCGGCCCCAACATTACTTGCCAATGCTGGATCTGGAGGTGGTGCCTGAGAGATCACTAGGAAATGAGCAATGGGAATTCGCCTTAGGTGAGTGTGGAAACAATTAGAAAAAGGAACTTAATTTGCATCTGCTTTACGTTGTTGTGAAATGGTGTCTTTTTTATTGTAACGCTACAGGTTTAGAGTTCTCCAAAATAGAAGAAGATCTTTAATTAGTTTCTAATCAAATAACTGTTATCAGTCTAGTTCCTGTGATGCACATCCATGCCTTCTTCCTCTTCTTTACTGCAGACTTCCTAAGAGTGTCTGGGAATAACCACAGAGACAGAAATTCTAAAACGACAAACAGAAAGCTGAAAATTCAAACCATTATTTTTTTCTATTGACATAAATTATATCTTTTTTCTCAGCCGTGTGGTTTCCACGACGCTGATTAGCCAGGAATGTGACATATCGTAGCACACGTGGTTTAGATTTTTGCTCTGTGCTGTCGTGTACTCTTCAGTGTGTCAGGACGAATAACAGACGAGGAGAAAATAAACAAATGACTGTTTGGAAAGTCCAACCACACACATGTTAGGCTCTGTGCCGGTTTGGAACTGCATTTCTGCTTCTTGTTGTTGTAGAGCTGGTTAAAACTAAGTCTTATAGCCACAAAAACATCATCAAACACTAAAGCACCATGCAGCGCCACCTACAGGGCACTGCAGTAGTCTCAAGTTTACTGTCATTGTAAAAGGAAATAATCTAATTTTTTTTGTAAATATAACTAAAACTTGGGGGAAATGTGTTTTCAAAATCTTCTCCTTCATTTCGGGTTTGTTAGTTGAATTTTCTCTGAGTTTCCATGTGTTCTGTTTTCAGGGATGCCATTGGCCCAGGCCATCTCTATTCTACAGAAACACTGCCGCATCATCAAAAATGTCCAGGTGCTATACAGTGAACAGGTAACATATTTAAACAAACACACACTCAGAAAATACCACAACGTAAAATAAAATAAAAAACCTTGTGTGTTGATTATGGTTTTTTTCTGATTTTTAAATATTATACAAATATTACACTTCATACAAAGTGCATTTTATTCCACTTAAACCTAGGATTCTTTCCTTTAAATTCAATTTCATTACAATTATGAAGTTAAAGATTATGATTAGAAATTATTATAAATTGATTATGACACAGTCACGCCCCAAAGAGAAATCAATACAAATTTTAATGAAAAAAATAAATGAACCAGAATATTTGTAGTATTGACTTTTGTTAATGCAGGTGGATCTTGTTTTTAGACGACGAACAAAATAATGACAAAACAATAATGACACTTCAATTAATCATGTCCCCCCCACATCTGTCTCCTCTCCCCCCCCCCCCCCCCCCCCCGACCCCCCCCAGCCATGACCTTATACTGAACCTGACTCAGGATGGGATTAAACTGCTGTTTGATGCCACAAATCAAAGACTGAAGGTGAAAGTTGTTCATTTTCATTTTCAACTCAAGAAGCCAAACAGGAAATCCATCCATGTTTGTAGAGTTTAGATCTGTGCTGTGAACAAAATAAATAATGACATTTGATGAAGCATCTCAACATCAGAGCAGTTCATGTTGTTACTGTTGTGTTACTGGCTGATTCACCTACAGAAAATCTCTTTCATATAAACAAACCGTCTTATATTATATTACACACACTGGACCTTTAACTCTGCTCATACTTTGGCTTCTAAACATCGAGCAGTTCATTAATATTTAACCTCTCTCTTCCGTCTTTTGCTCTAACGGCTCTCATCTCTTTGGACGACAGGTGATTGAAGTGTATGACCTCAGCAAAGTCAAGTTGAAATACTGGTGAGTAAAAAAGAAAAACTCACATAGATTCACATGAACATGATGGAATATCTGGAACCGCCGCAGACTCCCAGCTGTTGTGTCCGCGGACGCTGTCAGTCACGGACACAGACGACTGAGTGAGTGGGATTACAGTAATGGAGTCTGCCTGCCATAATGTTTGTCTTTGTGCTGAATGTGAGACCACTTCTCCGGTGGGAACGTCTCTGTGTGTGTCTGTGTGTGTGTGTGTGATTTTAATGCCTTCAGTCCAGGCCGTTTGACATAACTGGCAGCAGCCGCTCTGCTGCTAATGCAGCGCAGCCTGTGTGCATGTTAATAGATTTAACGCTGACTCTGTGTGTGATTCTGTTTCAGTGGAGTCCATTTCAACTCTCAGGCCATCGCCCCCACCATAGAGCAGATAGACCAGTCGTTTGGAGCCACGCATCCTGGAGGTAAAAAAATAAAATACAGCATGATCTAAAAAAAAAGAAAATGGAAAAAACATTCTTTAAACATGTTTTTTTTCACCCTCTTATTACAGTTTATAATGCAGCAGAGCAGTTGTTCCATCTCAACTTCCGAGGACTTTCCTTCTCCTTCCAGTTAGACTCCTGGAATGAAGCTCCAAAATACGAGGTGAGAAGAATTCAGTGCTCATCCGTGGATTGAAGAAGAGTCGACTCGACATTTTTTTCAAGTGAAATAAATAGAATTCAACCAATCAGAGAACAGTATTTATTTCCCCAGCATTTGTCACTGGTTCCTAATATTTTATGCTTTACTAATATTTTCCACCACATGAACCCAGTCTCCTGGGTTCCTGCTGTCACGATCACTGGTCGTCGTTCTTCTGTGTTTTCTTATTTTAATGTCAGACACATTAACATTAACTCTGTTTCCAGTTCGGTTGTTTTGCCTCCGTGAGTTAACTTTGCCCTGGGCTTCGTCTCCCTGCAGATTCCACACGGGGCCATGGTGAAGAGGATGCACATCTACACTGGCAACAACCTGCAGGAAACCAGGTATCTCAACACACACACACACACACACACACACACACACACTCTCTAAACCACTGTTTCCTAAAGACTGGGTCGCGACCCTCAGGTGGTTCGCAGGAGTTTGGTTTTTTTGGGTTGTCTCGCATCATTTTTTATGAATAATGTCTATTGATTTTTGTCTCGCATCATTTTTTATGAATAATGCCTATTGATTTTGGTCGTGAAAGTCTGAGACTTTTAAAATATGGGTCCTCAGAAAAAAAGTTTGGGAAACACTGATCTAAACCCACAGTAGAAATCTGACCTTTTTAGTGCAAATAAAAGTTAAATTGGTTAATTAATTAAATTAATATGGTTCCTGGGGAATTAGGATACATTTCCAGAGCAATTTTATCAAATGTTGATAACGAAACACAAATAAATGGTTTGATTGAACAGAACAGTCCATGAACTCGTTTCCTTTTTGCTCAGAGCTCCAGTGATGCCATTGGCTTGTTTCCTTGGCAACATCTATGCAGAGTGTGTGGACGTCCTCAGAGACCAGGCCGGGCCTCTGGGACTCAGACTCCGCCTCCTCACTGCTGGTATTGATTTTATTTTTATTTTTTGTACCTGGAGCTGGCGTTCCTGACGACGTGCTCCTCTGGTTAATCTCTGGTGTTGTTGTGACGTGTGGTTGCAGCCTGTGGTCCGGGCGTCATGGCCGACTCCAAAGTCAGGCCCATAGAGAAGAGCATCTTCTTTGGAGACTCGTGTCAGGATGTTCTCGGCGCTCTGGGCTCACCGCATAAAGTCTTCTACAAGTCTGAGGACAAGGTAGAGGAGCTGACCTCACGCTGTGGTCCAGGGATATAAGTCGATCTGTCACTGCTGCTACAGCGTCAACATTTGTTTACACTCCGTTCATAATTGTTTGGCTTGTTTTTTTTAAGTGTGTGTTGAAAGTTCCTCCGTGTTGAGTGAAATCCTCGTTCTTTTCAGATGAAGATCCACTCTCCATCACCTCACAAACAGGTTCCTTCTAAATGTAACGACTACTACTTCAACTACTTCACCCTGGGAGTGGTACGTAGTGATGTCACTGCACACGCGGTGGTTTGGTCTCAGTGTTGATGTGTTGGACAAAGAGAAAAGAACTTTAGGTCAAACATCAGTCAAACAGCTGCTGTCATTTACATTAAATGACAGAGAAATATCATTGGCTGTGGTCGTTGACCTGTTTAATCAGCTGTGGATTCATTAAAACATCCCAGACTGTCTGTCAGCCCAGTGGACGTCACACATCCAGACAGACTACACTATACTGTGATGTAGTCTATCATGTTGTCATACATATTTATATCAACAGATTCTTGATAATACACACCCTATCACACACACACACATACACACACATACAGGTGGTGATGTTTGCTCTCCTTCTGTGTAAATGTATCTTGTCTGCACACACACACACACACACATACAGGTGGTGATGTTTGCTCTCCTTTTGTGTAAATATAACTTTTCTATATTTTCCTGCAGCTCATTTCTCTGCGTCTGTGCACAGAGCAGTTCATCAGTTTATCACTCAGTGAAGTCTGTCAGTCTGTCTGTTGGTCTGTCTGTATCTGTTCACACCCAGTGTTGACAGTAAATAACAGCAGCAGCTGCAGGTTGAACACGTTGAACTCAGACTAAGACGAGTCTCTGCGTTGTCTCCGTCTCTGTCTCTGTCTCTGTTTTTACAGGACATCCTGTTTGACTCCACGACTCACCTGGTGAAGAAGTTTGTTCTTCACACCAACTACCCTGGACATTACAACTTCAACATGTAAACAACAACAACAACAACAACATTAACTGTTTATCACCTTGTTGTCTCAGAAACAGTTCATGATGTGTGTCGTCTGTCGTTGTCTCACAGATACCATCGATGTGACTTCCAGATTCCACTGGTCATCAGAAAAGGTCAGTCAGGGGTCACACACAAATACAAGTCGTTATGGTTCGTGTGGACCTGGGTTTGAACCGGAATAACCTTGACTTTTCATGTCTCCCAGAAGGAAGTGACTCTCAGACAGAAGACTGCGTCTTAACTACGTACAGCAAGGTCAGTTGTCAAACCTGTGTCTGTGATCCTGGCCACGCCTTCGTCTTTATATTATTGACAACATCCATTTTAAATCATTTAGAAAAGTTTGTTTTTCATTTAATGCATTGTCATCAATTTGGGCATTAACATTAAGAAAAACACAGTCATGGTACATACAGTGTGCCACCTAGTGGCATAAACCGGTATCAGCAGTCACTAAGAAGTGAGTTTCTTCTGATCAGTTCTACTTTTGTGTTCTGTCTCAGTGGGACCAGGTTCAGGAACTGTTGGGTCATCCAATGGAGAAGCCCGTCGTGCTCCACAGGTGAAGAGTCTTTATATGATATGATATTATTATTATATTATTTTTATTATTATTATTATTATTTTTATTATTATTATTGTTATTATTATTATTATATTATTCTCCTTCATCTGCTCAGTCATACAAACATCATGTCGTTTCTATCCAGCCAACATTCCTGTCGTGTGATGTTTGTCTGTGACAGGTCTTCTTCGGCCAATAACACCAACCCGTTTGGCTCCACCTTCTGTTTCGGTCTGCGGAGGATGATCTTTGAGGTGGGACGTTCAGGCTTTTGTAGGTTTGGTGTAGATCCATGTCTGGAACCTTCCAACGTCTGAACGAAGCTGCTGGTCTGAAGTGTACTTTAATGAGAGCCGAGCTAAAATAAGATCTGAACAAAATGTTGCTCATAAATATGTCTATTTATAATGAAATGTTTATTTATGATTAACCTTTTTTTAGCTCAAATATATCATCCAAATCTAGCTTAATAATTGCTGGGAAAATCTAAGCTAACTGATCATCCAAATCTAGCTTAATAATTGCTAACTTAATTTAGCAATATCCAGAGGTAGGAAAAAAAGATGTGAAAATGAGTTGGAAAAATAAATGTAAATATACTGTAATATGTTCCGTTCTCTTTTCTCAGGTCATGCAGAATAACCACATAGCATCAGTGACCCTGTACGGTGCTCCACGGACCACCGGTCAACCCCGACCTGAGTCCAGCAGCAGTTCCCACTGAGCAAGTTTTCAGAACCACATCCGGTCCTAAATCTGGAACCTCTACCGACTGATCCTCACCTTGAGACCTAACCTAGGAAATCAGAGCTATTCTTTCACCAGTCATTGAGCAGAGACGTGACAGGAAACCAACATCGGCCAGAAGCACCCACATCCGACCAGACATCCGACCAGACATCCAGTCAGCTTCCCAGTGTGTCGACCAGGATTTACTCCGTCGTTCAGACACGATCAGCTCAAACCATGACAGCACCGGGATCTGTGGAGGAAACCTTTTTGGAAGTACAAGTGCGTTGATGTGAGAAGCCACTGCTCAGCGACGGCGTCCGTCCAGGACCACAGAGGACGATGGACGGTCATTTGGACGCCACAGTTCGTATCATTGTGGTTTTGTTTCGTCGCTAAAGTGTTGCAACGTCAAAGATGGAGGTTTAAAAAAAGACGGCGACTCTTCACACCCGCTGATGAAACACCAGACCATAGACGGTGCCAGGCCAAGACTTCAAGACTTCAAGAGTCGACTGGACTCAGTAAACAAAACAGAAATCCAGTCGACAAGGACCCGACCCAGTCAGACCCCGAGATGTCGGCGCCGAACACAGAGAGCTGAAACCAAGAGCAGGAAGACGACGGCAGTCCAGATCGTTGGTGGTACAAGAAGAAGAAGAAGAAGAAGAAGAAGTGGACGAGCCAATCAGAACAGAGCCTGAAGGTTCTTCAGACAGAAAGATCCTCCCCCTGATCATCATCATCATCTCCACCTTTATCTACTTTATGTTGTTGTGTTCTTCCCACATTATAACCTCAACACATAAACCCAGATGATCTGCATGTATACACACACACACACACACACACACACACACAGAGTCCGATTGTTTTCACGGATCCCATAAACCCAGATGATCTGCATGTATACACACACACACACACACTGATCAGATGTCGACGCAGACGAGGAGGCGTGCAGGCATGACGCGGGAATTTGCATGAATTTTCCGGATGCTTCCCGATCAGTTTAGACTCCTCCCCCTCTTTTGTTGTTGTTGTTGTTGTTGTTGTATGAGCACAAACCTCTGGTGTGTGTTGGACTGTGCATGCTGCGGGGACACAGGTCGGTCTCCGTGTTGTCTTTTCATTGATTCACACCACGATCGTCTTCACTGTTTCATTAAAATCCATTTTTACATTTTGCACTAATTCACACCTTTTTACTTGACTGGTTGATTGTACGCAGTTCTCTCAGAGATGAACTGTAAAATGTGTGTGTGTGTGTGTGTGCGTGTGTGTGTAGTGGGCTGGGTGTCACGACTGTAGTTTGAAACTATTCCAGGGGCGGGGCTAAGTGTGGAGGTCACGGTCACCGTGGACCAATCATGGACGTTGCGTCTTGTTGCTAAAGTGAAGCCGCGATAGTTGAACCAATGGATTGTGGGAATAAACAGGTACCACTAGGTTATTGTCACAATAGATGCTGATCCTATTTAGAGGAAAATAAACAGTAAATACCAAAGGGATTCATAAACTCCCACAGTGAGATGTTTTTTTTGTTTGTTTGTTTTTTTTACTACGGTAACTATATTTGAAGTTGACTTGAAATCATTTTTATTTTATTTTTTTCTCCTTTTTTTATTTTTCTTTTTACTTTTTGGCATTTAGTTTTTGAGAAACTATTCTCTCCAGTTTCTATGGTTTCAGTCGTTAACTGTTCAATAGTTACACTTTGAATTTAATTGAACCTGTTCAAACTCAGCTGTGACGTCTGGACCAGTCTCCTTTTTGTTATTTTTCTTTTTACTTTTTGGCATTTAGTTTTTGAAAAACTAGTCCAGGACTAGTCCAGGAATCCCTGGTCTCATTAGTGGGTGTGGAGTTCTGCAGTCTGCTGTTGTCGAGGCTTAAAAACAGAACGTTTTTTATTTCTTATCTAGAAACGATTGTTCACTGTGGATTTGTGAAGTCTGGTTCTACGTTCTTGGGAAATTTATTTTTACTCTGGTCAAAAGGCTGAGGTTTTTGTTGCAGATGTAAAAGTTGAGCTTGTTACCATCTTGTTAAGAGGTTGATAAATTAAAATGATGCAAAATGACAATTACAGTGCAGAAAGGTCACTGCAGTACCAGCTGAAGGCTGATGGGGGCGCACGTGTCCGTGTTGGACTCGTTTCCTTTTCCATTCAATCTGCTTCAATAAATTCTAAATTCAGATTTGTTGTATTTTCCTCCTGTTGTGATGTCACTCAGCTGGTCCTACATGTTTAGAGCCACAGCGCCCTCCAGCTGCAGAACGCTGGTAAAATGGTGTGTTTTCTCTACTTGTGTGTCTGTAGTTAAGACTCTGAGACACATCACTGACCAGACATGACCAGTGTCACCAGCATTAACCAGCCTTCTGACCCATGCATTTAGCCCAGTGGTCCACTTTGTGGGCCATGACCCTCCATTTGAGAACTATTGATTTAGACCAAGATTTCTTGATCAGAGCTCAGAGAGTGGCCTTGATGTGTGGAGGTCACGTGTTTTCTCCTGGGTTCTACCACCATCCAAAAGCATGCAGATTGGAAACAAGGTTAATTTATAGTCGGTGTGAATGTTGGTGTGAATGTTGGTGTG